GGAAAAGCATGGGAGTTTCCTGATTTCCTGAGACTTGAAAATGAAAAAGAAGCAAATGATGCTGCTTTGGAAGAGAGGGCGAGATGAGACAAGGTGAGTGGAGAAAATGGAGTGAAGAGAAGATATTTAAAACCTGAAAACAGAAATGGAAGAGATGCAAACAAAAGATTTTAATATTTCTGTGAAGGTGGCAGAATAGAGGAAGAGAATACTAGCGTGAGAGTCAGTTAATGAAAGACAGAAAATGACAGGGGTGAGGAGAAAAAGAGGACAACAGGACGTAAGAGATGAGAGACAAAAACAAGTATTCGTCTAGAGAACAGAGGCGTTGTGTTCAGTGGGAAAGGTCGTATATTGTCCTGCGGTGTTGTAGTGCATTAATTACAGGATAAGAAATGATAAGCTCTGCTGCAGGGCTATGAATAGACAGACAGAGAGACAGACAGATAGCTGACAGTGCAACCGGATGCTGACTGTCTCTTGGTTACTCACAGTTTAAGATGAAGTTAGAAAGCGAGTCGGCATTTGTTCCATTTTGTAGTTTGGCGATTACACCTGACACAGTTACACCGGAACTGACAGGACAAACAAGTTACTCATTTGTTAAATTTTCCCCCCATAATTTCTCAACTACCTATATTTTGAAGAATGATATCCAGGTCAATATTCTTTTAAAATGTAAACACAAAGATAAAGCTAGATACAACTGTTTGAATGGCAAGTGAATTTCTTATAAATACATAAACAAGACAGAACCATTCCCTGATCTTAATCTGTATTTGTTACAGCCTTGGAGAGTCTGAGTGGCAGGTTTTAAAACAAGCTGGTAAGTTTTCTTATTGTCGCTCTGTCTCCAAGGGGGAACAATAAATGATATTGTTTATCAGCTTTTACAACAGTTTGGAAAAACAGTCCAATTTTCACACTTCATATTTATGAAATTATTCAATCAGAGTTTGGAGTGACTTTCATACACTCCAGGACCCTGAAACCAACTTAAAGGTTTGTATAAACCTCCAGTTCAAGGGGAATTTAGGAAAAACATTTCTTCTCAATAACGCCCATGTATTTTTGGATCATAAAACATCACACATAAACACATAAATGACCATGCAGACATCTAACACAAGCAAAACAGACTTATTTTCTCATTGAGCAGCATCTCTTGAATTGTACAGTGGGTTTTGAGTGAGTTTCATGGGGTCGTGAAACTCCTCTTGGAGCCCACTCAGCAAGCCAAGACTTGAAGTGAAAAAAGCATAATTACCAAAATAGAAAATAACAAGGTTTATTCACGCAGTGTCAGCAGAGTGGAACATTGAAAACTGGAAGAAAAAAAGCCCAGAGGTCTCAAAAATAAACTTTATGTAATTTAATGTAGCTTTGTGTTGTAGGTCCTCCACTGTCATCAAGACACCCAAAAGACTGGCTCTGTACTTTTTCCAGTTTTTCCAAATTATAAGGCAGTTCACACCAAATTGTGCATTTTCTGGTTTATTTTATTACCAAATAGGCATCTTACCATTTTTAGCAATGCTAACGGCATGGTTCTAGGGATGGTACTGTTGGTCTGTCAGACAGTCCACCACTTTTTTATTTGTCCCATTAGCCTCAGCTGTACTTTGTTTTTGTGCTTGTTTGCAAATGTTAGCATGCTAGCACACTAAACTAATGTGTTTTGGTTATTGGTTACAGAGATAGCCCTAGCTCCACACTCTTTTGCTAAGCATCACAGGTGCTGTCTTTACCTACAGTTTAATATGGCCACATTCATTTAAAACTGCAAACACTTACATCATAGGTGTCTGGTTACTAAAAGTTGTTGTCTGAAGCTTAAAAAAGTGAAATGATACAAAAAATCTTCTAGTATTTTTTCCTGCTTCATGAGAGCTCATGAAGGCTTGTTAAATCCCATTTTTAAAGGTCAAAGGTCATACAAATTATCTGTGTTTTTGGTAGTATGTGTTTGCTGTTTCTTTTGTGTAGCTTGTGCATTACGCAACTGTGTGTATGTGTGTGTTTTTAAGTAGGTGATAGAGGTGGGGGATTCCCGCAGCGACCCGGGTTAACGGTGTGCATGTGTGTGTGTCTCCCATCCATCATCACACACACTTCCCTCCTTCAGCGCATTCGAAAATAGAACAGTGTGTGAACATGACCTCTCCCACACATAAACACACACGCACACACACTAGTAAACACACCCATTACGATGCCATTGTGTCTTGGTTTCTTGTCCAGAATGCGGGTGCATGTTTGTTTGTGTTTGTGTGGGATTGCGTGAGTGTGGGTGTTTGTGTGCGAGTGTGTGTAAGTGTGTGTATTATCAGGAGCTGTAAGGAAAAATGTCCCCTCGCCATGTCCTTCCTCCTTCTTTCTCTCTCTGTCTCTCTTTTCTTTCTCGCCACAAAGTCTGGAGTCTCTGCCAAATTTCCTTTGTGGCAAAGGTGTGGTGCCACGACACTGTCTCTCCCTCTCACACACACACACACACACACACACACACACACACACACACACACCTCCTCCTTTTTTAGTAATAGAAACATCCACACATTGGACAGAACATTAGGTGATAATGAACTCCATGGTGTCCTAATGTATGAACACAACAGATGAGGTGAGAAACGCCTGGTGATGTGGTGTTAACTCTGCTGAGTCCATTATTTCCTAGGGCACCTCTTCTTACATTATTAACTTACTAAACTTGGAGTTTGGAGGGAAATATGGAAACAAGTATTGAATGGATTTCCATGCATTTTATACAGAGATTCATGTTTCCAGGGGCTGAAACCTGAAGCCACAGCGCAGGTTGCCACATTCACCTGAGAACCAGTTTGGTCTCCGTACATGCACAACGGTACAAATTTCAAGAAATTGCTCCACCATGCAAGCCCCTCTAAAACCACAAATTTCACAAGAATGGTGTCAATTTTGTCATCGCACTGATGGAAAGAAAACGAATGGGCATATTTCCTAAAAGGCTGAACTATTCCTTTAAACATCCACAGCTGAGTATGTGCATGCAATGATCAGATCTGAGTGAGTGTAGATCTTCAAGGTTAACTAGTCTTCTACCTCATATTGTCGCATTTAAATGTATTGATTGCTAGTTTGATGCCCTATTTCATCCATTTACCTTTTTTAAAACATATCTTTAGATTTACTTGCAAATTTTGTCTATCTTGGTGTGCTTTTTTAAAATAAGATTTCTGCTTTTATTGTCCATGCACAACTTTGCACTAATTTATACTAATTTCCATATCAGCCTAAAGAAAAGCTAAAATCAGGACATTAGGAATAGAAATGTACTGTCCTTGATACACTTACTGTATTAATCACCATAAACAATAACATAAAGGCATAAAGACGCAGCAAGTACACACACACGTACGGGAAGCCTGGGACAGCAGTGGTAAGTAGGAGTAGTTCCTGGTGGGTCTACCAGGAGGCTCTGAGACGCCGCAGCAGGCTCCCCTGGAGCTGGGCGTGGGGAGGAAAGTGAATGTGTGTGTGTAGGGGGTCATTATATTGTGGTGGAGGGAGGTGGTAGGGGGGCATGTCCTTGGCAGACAGACAAACACAACACATACAATATTCATCTTAAGAGGTCATTTAGTTGAGGGATGAGTTTGAAAATAATATCTGACTTTAAAGCAACTAAATGTTTTTCCGTTCGAATTACTTAGACACAGCTACTCTGTTCAAGACACAGTATTTGCATCTGTATTATTTACTGAGACTGAAAAACATGCAATAATAAATTATTACAACAATACAGAACATTTAATCCAATGAGCTGTCAAAATCCAATAAATTTTTCATCATGCCCATATGTGTTAATGTTGCTTCTAATCTTCTGGGATTAATTTTCCCACATCTCAAAGTAGCTTGTGAATGAAAACTGTTCTGTGGCTGTCATGCTTTCAGATTCTCTGACCAGCACATGAAAGCACCACGCGAATCTGTTTCCCCTGTACAATAATAATTGATGGATCATTGAGATGATTCTTGATCAACATTTCAACTCATGTCTTTGCCTCAGTTAGTCACAGCTAGAGAGAATGTGCACCTAAATGTAACAATTAATCAATAACATCATTGCTCATTAACTTTCTGTTGATTGATACTTGATTAATCAAACACTTTTTATATCACTACATCCAACTACTTGCCTATATTTGACAATCTAAGTCCCTGTGCATTTTAAGTGCAATTCCTTTTCTTGTACAAGCAACTGGTTGCTGCTGCATCAATCAAACCTGGAACTTTACATTTGGGGTATACTACGCCCGAACCTCGTCAACACCACCACCTACCCCCAATCCAGCCACTGATTGCTTCTCTCTCTCTCACTTGTTGTTAAACTCAGCCACTAATCGCTTTGGTTGGGACTGTGGTAGACTGTGTTACCACTGTCCTGACCCTCAAATACACACACACTCTAAGGCCGAACTAACACATATAGAAACACATACTATATATATGTGTATTCATATTTTGTCTTTGTGTGCAAACGTAATTACACATGTGTCTTTTTAATGTGTGTGCTGCTTTCGTGTGTGTGTGTGTTGGAGTGTGTATCTGTGCATTTATGTATGCATGTGTGTGAATATGTGTGTGCTACAGTTTGCATGCGTGTGTGTCTTGAATGTGTGTATTCGTGTGTGTGAGAAGCTCCATTCTCAGTTGGACAGAAACAATGGAACCACTCTGATTACATCTCCCTGTACAGGCGGACAGGGTGTGTGTGTGTGTGTGTGTGTGTGTGTGTGTAGGACTTCAGGGGGGAGGAAAGGGTGGCGGTTGGTGGAGGAGGAAAGAGGGGGAGGCAACGTTTTGACCTGCCCCCTCCCTCCTTTGCTCTGTCTCCCACACACAATCATCCCTTCCTTTCGAGCCAGCCTGGCGTCTCATTGGTTAAATTCTCAGCTATATATTTATGTGATTGGTCAGGGCGGAGTATATATACTCAGCATGGGTCGGTTAACTCTGGCCACAAGTTTCAAAACTTTCAAACTGGGCAGACAGACAGAGAGACAGTGAGTCGGACGGCCTAAGTGAAGGAGGGGAATCAAGCTTTGGACAAACCGCTGCACCGCACACTCCAAACAAGAACTGTTGTCTTTTGAGAAAAAAAGGAGTGAAGAAAAGAAAGAGGCAGAGTCATTGTGGATCACTTTCAGGGGGAATATCCTGCACCACAACTTGTTTGTTTTCTCTTTCTTTCTCGTCTTCCCCCTCCTCTCAGATCTCGATGCTTTGCTTTGGGATTTGTGCTCCAAATCCATCAAATTCCTCTCTTGATATTTCCCTTTGTCATCTGAACCACTTTGATTTACACATTTCTTCCAGAACTTTGCAACCCATCAAACTGAGACAGACGTTTGCAGAATTTAACTTGGACTAAAAGTTGAATCCACAGCCGGTTCTGGAATGAATTTAACTGAGCCCAGCTTGTCTAGAGAGACTCTTCTGCATGCCAGCCGGGTGTCTCTCGGGGGCCCCTGGGCGTCCAGGACCCCGAGCCCTGCTTCTGATTCTGAAATGGGTTTTGAGCAGAACCTCTCCGGCGACTGCAGTTCTGATGGCCTTGGAACCGGGAACATGAGGAGAACAGAACCAAGGATTTCCCTCACACCCAGTTTAGGGGGACAGGGTCCAGACCTCACCCAGGCAGGAGGTGTGTCGGCAGGCACGGCCGATGGGAAGGCCGTGGGGGGTGAGCAGAGAATCCGCAGGCCCATGAATGCCTTCATGGTCTGGGCTAAAGATGAAAGGAAGCGACTGGCCGTGCAGAATCCTGACCTGCACAATGCTGTTCTCAGCAAGATGCTCGGTAAGACAAGGAATAAAAAACTTAAACAGGGCAAAAAAACTCTTCAGTAAATACCTTTCAGTGATGAAATCCAAGCAGGGTTGGCAACTTTTTAAAAGTTTAATAGTAGGAAAAAATCTCTCGACCTAGGTCAATTCAAATTTTTTTGCATCATTTAAACTTTGTCGAAGTGTGAAATCTACCACATCAGGACCCAGTTTCCCAGTTCATATATATATATATATACTGGGTTGCTACTCTGTCTAAACTGACATCTGTAATAATTTATGTTTGACTGAAGAACAACTCTGCAGTTTCACATGATTTAGCTGATGTTCTTATGTAAGATTCCAACAATTATCTTGCAGTGAGATTAATATAATATTTCATGTGTAGATCTCCACATTGAAGTGTTGACATTAAAGTAATCTCCTGAGCATCAAATTGTCACTTGAAAGGTGTGAAAAGTTTGTAGTTTCCACAACAAATGTCCACAGAAACTTCTCAAATCACTCCTGCAGCATAAATAACTTCTCTGCTGGTCATCATGCGCTCATTATGTACCAAACTCCATAGTGTAATACTACAATTCTTCAAAAAAGCAGAACAAAGTAAGAAGATTACTTTAGTGAGTTACACGGTCTTTCTAATATTACCCTGCTTCAAATACATATAATGTCTAATGTCCACACTTCAATTTACAAAGTATGCTGAGTTCTTTCACTGCCTGAGATTTTCAGAGACACTCTGAGATTCAAGTTTCTGGAAAGAAGCGTGTTTCTCAGATCTCTAGTCTGCTGGTGTCTACAATCATAAGACAAACTGTGATGTGAGCACATAATGCAGTGTATAAATACATCAGACCGGTGGCTGCAATTCATGGCAGTTTATGTATCTGATCAGCTTTTAGACCAGATGACATTAAGAACACACACAAACTAAAGGTATGTGGGGGCATAGTATAGACTCAATTATCAACAGTCTTTATTTCAACACAATAAAGAACACATGTAGAAACACATTTCCTTACTGTTCTTGTTGTAGCAGCTACTTGAGCGGATGAAGGGTGAGAACTTTTGTGGTTTCACTGTAAATGCTGCTGTCGTTGTGTGTGTTTTTGTTTGTTTTTCCCCATCACTGCTGTTTAATTTAATTAGACCTAACACACATTGCAGGGAGATCACCAAGATCTTCTGGAACCACAGTAGAGCCTTGAACGTGTACACTGACATTACAAATACATATAGGATTCAATTTGGCGCACAATAGCCAAGAACACAAAATATTGATTGGCTGATTTTGATAATCATTTCCTTCTTTAAGTCATTTCTTAGCAAACATGTTGGTATTTCACAGGTTCAAGATATTCAAACATGATTTTTTTTGATTGTCTGCTATAATAGTAAACTGAATACCTTTGGGTTTTGGACAGTTTGTTGGACATAACAAGCAGTTTGAATATGTCCGTTTGTTTGTTTGTTGTTTGTGATGACATTTTTTCACAATTGTATGATATTTTATAAGCCAAACAATTAACTTAAAATCAAGAAATAATCTTTAGATTAATTGTCATTTGCAGCCCTAGAATCTACAGTCTGAAGAAGATGTTGTTGACTTTGATTTAGATAATGATTATCAGTGATAATAATAGTGATCCTTTTTTTGAGTACCTTCTTTCTTTGCTAAGATGATGAAAATAATGTATGTAATTTTGTAATTTTGTCTTCTTCATATCTTTCAGGTCAGTCTTGGAAGTCCCTGAGTGCTACAGACAAGCGGCCGTTTGTGGAGGAAGCGGAACGTCTCCGTGTCCAGCACCTCCAGGATCACCCGCACTACAAGTACAGGCCTCGCCGCAAAAAGACCACCAAAAAACTCAAGCGGGTTGAACCAGGGCTTCTGCTGCACAGCCTAGCCCAGGGCGGGGCACCAGGACTTGGATTAGGTCCTGGTGTCAGCCCCTTGGGTGCAGACAGTATTTCTGGAGGTTCAACTTATGGACATCCAGGTGCCCACCCTCCGCATCAACATCACTCCCACCACCTGCTGCCTTCTCTTGGGCACTTCAGAGACCTCCAGGCCCCAGGACACCCAGAGATGGAGAGCTACGGCCTGCCCACTCCAGAGATGTCCCCTCTGGATATTCTGGAAGATGGGGCAGGGGAATCAGTGTTTTTCCCCCAACATATGCAAGAGGAGGCAGGGATGGGAGGTTGGAGTGGGTACCACCACCACCTTCACCATCACAACCAGCATTACAGCCATAATTACAACAACCACCACAATTCCATACATGGTGCAGCAACATATGTTCAGAGTTCAGGAATGAGTGCCGGTGCAAGTTTAGGCACCAGTATGAATTCCAGTTTGAGTCCTGGCAGAAGTTCCAGAGTTGATTCTAGAATGAGTGCTGTTGAGTCAAATATGAGCTCAAGCATGAGCTCTGTTACTTCAGTTTTGGCGAGTTCAGTCAACTCTCGGTTAAATGCTAATCATCCCTCAGGTCACCACATCTCCTTGAGGAGTCCTCTAAAGTGCCCACCACCTCTATCCGACTCCTCCTCCCCTGTTTCCTACACTCAGCCCGCCATCAATCTCCCAGAGCAGATGAAATCCCACCAAACGCCACATCAAGCCAGTGCTCCTGTTAGCTACTTCAGCCAAATGTATGGGAGCAGCACCCCGAATGCTGCATATTACATGCCCTCTCACCTGGGGCAACTTTCACCTCCTCCTGAAACTTCCCCTTCTTCCTGCTCATCCTCCATCCCCCCGTCAACCTTCCCTCCCTCTTTGCACTTAGACCCTCAGAATCCAGAGTCCTCCAGCCATTTGGGGTCTTCCTCTGATGAGTTTTGGACCGAAGTGGACAGGCATGAATTTGACCAGTATGTTAATGTCAGAAGGAATCGAGAGGAGGCCTACGGACATGGTGGGGGCTGTGGGGGGGTATCCAAAGTAGTGAGTGGACGCAGTAGCAGTAGTGTAGGTAGTAGCATGAATAGCAGTGTTAGCAGTATTATTAACAGGGATGTCAGTAGCATTTTGAATGGTGCTGGTGGGTGTGATGAAGCGAGCAGCCCTCTTATATCTGCGCTTTCTGATGCCAGCAGTGCTGTCTATTACAGTGCCTGTATCACTGGATAAATTATCTCTTATATGTACCTCCTTGCATATAGCACAGTTAGGTTTGGTTCATTTGAAGCACTGTTACATGAGTGAGGAAGTATGTCTGAAAGATTAGTTTTGGCTCATACTTTTAGTCTAGTCGTTGTCATCTCTTACTTAAATCTCATAGATAGAACTCTAAATTTAAAAATTAAATAAATTCAAAAAATTAAGTGAGTGCTGTCATCCTACAAATGTGTGCAGAAGACTGAGCTGGGTAGAGCCAAATCCCACAGTTTTAACTGGAAAAAAAAAACTTGCAAAGATGAAAATAAAATTTTAAAAATAAATAAAGTGCTAACTACTTATTTTTAGATTACTTAGTGCATTCCTAAACATGATATTAAACAGTTTGCTGGCTAGCTAACCAGCTTTCATTCATAGTTTTTTGATTGATTTGTAAGAAATGCATGGATTACTAGCTCTAGACACCTGGAGGCAGAAGCTCAAGCAGCTAGTCTTGTCCTTTCTTGAGCAACTGCAAAATTAGCCACTGTCAGTTATAGCAGATGACATTAGCTAATGGGGTTAGCTATCTTAAGGAGAAAATCAAGATATTATCTGTTGTTCCAAATGAATAATACTGGGGGGGGGCATGATGACATTGTGCTGCTCAGAGGTTGTAATATTTTGAATTTTGGCACCAGTGCCTAGTCCTACCTGAAAAAAGAAATAGGCCATAGTGAAGATAAACAGAAGGCAGCTGGACAGCACCTTAGAATAGATTTTAGTTTGTCACTTACTTATCAAGGATGCTCGGTCTCTTTTTTAGCATGTGTTATACTAATAAAACGTGAATCTTTATCAGTAGCTGGATACATGTATGACCTGGAACTTGTTCTGGTGGCTACATAACCTGAAGGATTCAGGGATGTGCAGCAAGTGCTTGTCTTTGTTGAAGTACCTTTGAACAAAGAACTAAGCTCCTAGTTGTTCCACCAGTTTTGATTCTCTACACTCTAACCCCACAGTACATGCTACAGGAAGATAAGATTATGCAAGCACGATTATTTTTTTGATTGCACTGTGTTCTCTGGTCATCAGAAAAATACGTCAAATCTGAATTTCATGATCATCTCATATTATTTTTGACAATTCATCTCAGGACCAGACAAATATTCATCTCACTGAACTTCTTAAAGTTTAGGTTTACTCATGTTTTTCGTTAAATGGAAACATTTGACAATGAAGGTCGGGAGATGGACAAAGAGAAAAAGACTCGATGGAAGAGACTTCAATTCAGCCTCCAGATATCTCTCTGCAGTGTTGTCGGGAAAGCCTTGGCCACAGACCCAGAGCAGACCACTTATGTCTCCCACAAACTATCAGGATGTTTTACAAGCTGGGTCGGGTTCTTTCTGACCATGATACATGCCGTTCCCTCTCAGTCTCAGTCCATGACAGGGCCTCATGTCAAACTCCATGCTAAAATCTGTAAGTTTTAAGTTGTTTTGCTTTTTGGCAAAGACAGATATGTTGATGATTCAAAGATCATACTTTTTAATCAGCAAGCCCCTCTGGTGAAACAAGCACATCACTTGTTTACAACAAAATGTCCTATTTCAAAGTGTAATTTAGTTCTACAAAGAGAAGAAGATTAGGTTCTACATATGCAGTGCCATTAGAACAAGTCTTATGTGGTATATCCTGAAAACAGCATCCCTTTATACGTTTGCGTATTTGCAAATTAATGCAAAGCAACATTTTACTGTACCAGATATTGGTAAGCAGCTTGACCGTTAACTTACAGATTGTTCCATTCTCAATTTCATTAAAACATTTAAGGATAATTGTTCATGTGCTAGGTCTTATATTCATTTTGGAAACCTTGGTTTGATGTAGCCATTTACTGTACATATAGTTGCTATGCCTCTCGGCAGTATGTGAAGGAGAAACTGAGACTATGAAATGTTCTCTTTGCACTGGGTTTAATGTCTTAGCTGTACAGAAAGAACACTACTTATCAAAAGTTAAATGTCCATTATTTTAAATATGTTTTTGTACAGAAAGGGCTGTGTTTATTTTGTTGTTTTAAAGATTGTTTTATAGATTTATTTTCTTAAAGGAATAGTTTGACATTATAGGAAATACGTTTATTCGCTATCTTGCTGAGAGTTATATGAGATTTTCAAAACCGCTATCATGTCTATGTGTATTGTAGGCTTCAGAGTTAGCTACAGAGTTTGCCAAGAAATAGTTACACCAGGTAGCTCCCCATAAGTTTGTGTACTTAATAAATAATGGTGATAAAAGTGAAATTTAGAGGTGATGGATGTCTGATTTGAAACTTTGGACTGCTAAAGGCAAAAGCTGTTTCCCCTGCTCACAGTCTTTGTGCTAAGTCAGGCTAATTGCCTCCCGGCTCCAGCTTCACTTAGCCAACCGAACTGACAGTGATTATGACATTCTCACCTCACTCTGAGCAAGAAAGGAAATGCGTATATCCCAAAAGGTTGAACTAGACCTTTAAAGATGATTTAAATATAAAAGCATTGGAGCAGTGAGTTTCCACTATTTTATGTTCCTCTTAAATGTGTATTATAAACTTGCCTTCGAAAGGAATTCTAAAGGTCTTTAATGGGTTACATATTACACTTTGCTCTACCAGTGACACCACCAAACTTTCCCTCCCACACCACTGTTTTTTACCTAAATGACTGGAAATTAAAATAAGAACTTGTGGTTTTGTTTGTGCTGAGAAAATGAAAAATCAACAGTTGTAGCCACTGTAGAGGTCTCTCTTTATGTGTTTATGTAGCATTTATCCTGTAATATCTATGTAAACAGTGGGAGCAAAAAACAGAAATCTCTCTTCAAGGATCTATCCTGCATCTGTTCTGCATTAGTCCTACAGACAATACTTTTTTTTGTATATGAAACAGTAGAACAAAATTGAGTATTTTGTACAGTGAAACCAGTTATATTTACCACACCGTTCCTTGTGACCTCCATTGGTTGAGAACAGAGCAACAGTAGATTTTTCTTAACAATTCCTCTAGAGGAAGAAGCCACAGAGAAGCAGCAGTTCAAGCAAAGTTACTTCTACATCTGCATTTGACATTCTTTTCTGTTGACACCAAACAGAGTCTTGTTTCCATTTTAATTTACTGTGACACACAAAGAACATCAGAGAGACAGGAATTTTTTTAAAGTCGTGCAATAACTCTGGGGCTTTTGGTAATAATTATCTGCAGGAAAAAAACGAAACACCCAAGATTTTGGGATTAAAACAAAGGACATTTTCTCAGCAGTCATATAACGACAAATTAAAACCAGGATTTTCCCAGAAGTGTCACTGTGATACTTCTAAATCTGTCTGACAGGGATCATTATTATATTTTCTGTAGTACATGGTTTTGTTTGTGTTTATATTTGAAAAATGTGGGTTGGCTGTAAATAGATCTGTTCTGTTTGTTAAAATAATTTTGCAAAATAAACATTTCTAAGGCTGCACTTTGGTTTTGTGATATTCACATCTGAGAGCTGACAAACATAACAGAAACATCTCAAACAACTGTCTGATGAGAACAAATAATTAAATGTAGATTGTGTATTTAGTTTGTTTTGCAATGTATAGATTTGTGACAGATTATTTGAACCTTTGTGGTGTTTATCACCTTGAAGTTCATTCTGTCAGAATGTGATGATTGGAAAATGTTTAGCCAATTCTTTAACTTTGGTTAAGTAAAACCAATCGGATCAAGTTAAGGGTTAGCCAATTAAGTTTCTTAAGATTACAACATAAAACAATTAGGAGATGATTTTTAAAAATGTATCTGGTTGAATAAGAAAAAATGAGCTAAAAAATCAAACAGTTTCAGTGTAATGTGTTATAAGTCAAGAACCGAACATGGCTGATAATATTTCCACTTCACCCTAACTGTCAAACTACTTCCTGTTTATAGTCATGGCTCCTTCCTGTGACCCTTTACTAATGGTGATTCATCCTCAGGCAAGGCATCCAGAATATTTTATTTCAATGTGATTCTACAGCAATAAAAACAAAAATATATTCAAAATGTCACACTGACTGTGTTGACACTGAGCTCTCTCCTCTCCACTGGATAATACGTCAAATTTCACGGAAGTTAGTTTTCCAACACCACATCATGGATGAAGTGTTAAGGGAGAATCTTGAGAGGCACCACAGTTTCCATTAAAATAAACGTTTTGCTACGTTTTGTCAGTGCTGAACTCAGCCAAGATCTATTTGAATTGCTGAACAAATCAAAAATGCGGTTGGCGATTCAGAAGTCTGCAGGGTGGTCAAACTGTTAGAGACAGATGAACTGATTAACTTTGCAACTTTGTATAACAATTTTTAAAAAGTAAAATGCAGTAAAATAAGCAGCTTTTTTAAAGAACAAACAGTAACTGCATTGTATTTTTTCAATGTCCACTGTAAAAGCTGTGGATCTCAGTCATCAAGTCTCCTGGTCTTTTGATGGATATACTGTATAAGGAAGACGAGAAAAAGGGTGGGGTGGGAAAAGGAGGCGAAGAGGAGAAAACGGGGGGAGACAGAGAGACAATCACCTCAGTGTTTGTGTGGTGCCGTAATCCTCTGTGATCTGTTCTGATTCTGTCCTCTCTGGGTTCAGATCAGATGCTAAACGAGTTTGGCTCAGCGGGGCAGTTTCCCCCCGAACAAACCGCTGATGGACTCAAAAGAAAACATTTGGAACAAGGAAAACTGTTCACTCCTTCTCTCTTCCTGGCAGTCTGTTTTCTTCTCTTTTTTGTATCAGTTTTCGGTCTTATTATATTCCCTCTCAGCCCCCCAGTCACAGTAAAATTTCTCTTCTTTTTCTTCTCTTTCCCACATGTTTGATTCCTTGTTTCGTATGTGTTAGCCCTTTTTTCTTTCTCTGTGTCCTTCGATCTCACCTTTTTCCTTTTCTCCACAATTCCCTTTTCTCCACATTTTTCTTCTTTCTTCCATCTTCCTCTCCTCATTGCCTTTTTTTTCACTCTTTCCCCCTCTTTATTCCAACTTTCTCACATTTTGCTGAATGTCACTCAATCTCCTTTATGTCACCCTCATATTTACATCACATTTACCCCCTTTGATCGCTTCATCTCCTTTTAGAAGAAGATGATGTATTTTATTTAACCCCTGGAGATGAACTGGTACCTCTCCAGCTACCAGTCCACGCTCCGCAACTCTGGTCTGAGCTTGATTCGAACCGGTGGCCCTCTGGTTCCCAGCCTAATACTTACGGACTGAACTACTGACGCCCCTTTTCAACCCATTCATGCTCCCTTTTGCCTCCACCTTCTTGTTTCTGGCCACATTTAGCACTATGCACCTTTCTTTCCACATCTTCTTACAACAACCAACCATTTCTTCTAGTCATCTTCTAAATGCTTCAGATCCCCTCTTTGTTTTTATTTCCCCCACATGTTGCTCACTTGCCCCATTTTCTGCTTGTCTTTCATCAGGACACAACTGTTTCACCCAATTTACCCGGTTTCCCCTAATTCCTCTCTTCCCCCATCTTCCTCTTTTTTGTTCCTCTCTCTCTCTTTCTAACCAACTTCCTTTTTTGTTTCACGTCATTCTTTTCTCTTTTTCTCTCTTCTTTCATCTCACCTTTCTACTTTTCTTACAACCATCCTCTTTTAGCCTTTAAACAATCTGTTTCACCCCATTTAACCCCTTTTCACCTCAGTCTCCCACTCAATCGCACACCCCCTCTTTTGTCAGACTTGCAGATCTTTTATTACAGTAACATTTCCATTAGGTTCAATTATGGTGGCTTTTTGTTTATATACATATCTTTACTGTACTATAAAAACCAAACTGGGGATTGTGAGTGATGTGGAGAATGTGTGAGTTTTCCTACACAGGGTCATGTTCTGTACTCAGTGTGTGTGTGTGTGTCAGTGTAAGGGTTTTTAAGAATTTATGTGTGTTGCTGAGGTAACTGACAGGAATGTGAGCCACCAGGAGGAAACTCCTGTGGAAGTTTGGGATGTTCGGAAAGGGTGTGTGTGCCTCCATATGTGTGCGTGTAGTGAGAGAGGAAGAGGTGTATATTTTTATGGGAACACCTCACCCCGCTGCTTGTTACCCTGACTGGAAAAGATAACATAAGCCTGGATTCCCCTGCTCCCAGCTGGAAATGAACACATGTGAGCTTCCAGGGTGTGTACATGGTGTGTGTGTGTGTGTGTGTGTGTGTGTGTGTGTGTGTGTGTGTGTAAAGGTCCCTGTGTAGTTTCTGTTTGCAAACAGACAAGAAATTTCACATGAGTCTCTGTTGGTTTTGTGCTCTGTGGCGACCCAGTAAAACAAAGACAAGTGGTTGCTACCACGTTCCTGTTTGGTTATGAGAACATTAAAAGAAGATGAAGGATTTCTTTCTTTCACAAGTTCTGATCATTACTTTAATGTCCTTAAAACAACAATCTATATAACAATCCAGTGTGTCGACACAACTTTTGTGACGAGAATCTATAAACATTACGTAGGTAAGAGATGGACATTTAGGACAATTAAGGGGTCACTGAAGCAAAGTAGAAAGGAAGAAAGAATGTAATGAGGGAATAAAAAGTCTCAGCTGGTTTTCTGGGAACCTCACAGTAACGACAAGACACATTGGAAGTCACTGAATTCAGCTCTTGTTCAAGTTCAAGAATGTAACACATCTTTAAAATGATCACACCTGAACTTGAGGCGCTGTGTTCTTGACGAAGGCGCCTGTGTTGGGATCTAGTTTTGAAACCTTCATCATTTCAGTTTTGTGCTCAGAACATTAGGCAGTCAATGGACATTAAGTTGTTACCGTGATGTAGAGACAGTGCACAGTTAAAACGTTACGTATGAAAGAGCAATTTGTTACAAATTAATAACTTACTACCCTGAAACGTCTTGCTCCAATTTAGGTTGCGAAGCTGGTTCAGGAACATGCCCAGTTGAACCGAAGCCCTGATTACCAGCTTGTCAAGAGCCGCCCTACTCTGCATCTGATTGCCTAGTGGTCCTTAACTAGGTACTGCACATGTGCAACATGTGAGATGCTTCACTCAGTAGCTACACACATAAATATATGGTGTTTGTTTTTCTTAAACCATGTAAACCTGTGTTATGCCCAGCTCGTGGAAGAACATAACAAAGAGGGAAGGTCCACGCAGAAAACAGTTTAAATGAATCATAAGGTTTTATTAAAGTTACCTTAACTTATAATTAACTCAAAACACAAGTAAACTTGAACTCATCATACTCAAAGCAAACAACCAAAAGAAAAGGAGCTCCTGAAAGGCACCCGCCGTCCAGGAGAGAGGACGCGAGGAGGAACCATCTTGGTTCACCACAGCGTTTTAAGGACTTAAACAAGTGGCTGCAATCGCCAACGAGGTGGGTGTGTCCAACCAAACAGGAAGACAGACCTGAAAAGAAAAGGACAGAGAACAGGCCAACCCCCAGGCCCCAGGCCGTCACACCTGTTCAACCCCTAAATAAAATTAGGAACCTGAAAATGAGCATAATATGACCTCTTTAACTTATACCAACCCAAACCATTATCTTTTTAAACTTCAACTTATTTTAAGTCGTTTTGGTGTCCAAACCTAACCAAACTTGTTACCATGACGACGAAGGTCACCTGTCTTTGTCCTTTCCTGCACGTCTAAAATTCATGAAATGCGGCATATGTAACTCTGTTAAACTGACCCAAGAAAAGCTTAAAATGCAGAGACATGAAATGCGAATGTCCAGCATGCTATTTATACAACACATTCTGACTCTCAACTCGTCACATATGGACCTTTGGTCAAGACTCTCGATTAGACTTTCAAAATAAAATGGTTAATGTTGTTAAATGTTAACCATTAGTTTGGATAGGTTTAGGCACCAAAACTACTTAGTTAGGTTTAGGAAAAGATCATGATTTGGGTTTAAATAACAACGTTACTTACATGATTTCACCTACGTAAGTTGAGTTGTTATTTCACACAGGAACTGAACACCATCCTCCTGGGTAAACGTCCACCACATCCTTACCTGGGCTTTTCTGTTATTTATTTACTACGCCTACTTTTAGCATTCAACACTAAGGCCAAAGGGCCTACCCCAATGCATTAAAAACTGATGCCAAGAGGCCTGACCGTGTGTCCAAGTGACGACTTGGGAGTGACATCGGGTTAATTCATACGCACACCATCATATCATATAGGACCAGGTAGTAGTTTGGCATTAAAAAACTGTGAACACTGCACACAGCACAGGAGGAACTTGGATCAATTTATAGTCCAGTATCTCATTTTCTCCAAGAAAGTTAAAACACCCATGTTAGTATCTCCTTATAGAATGAGTGCATGTTTGGTGATATCTTCATTGTTGTGCTCACAGTTTGAATGCATGGTGAGAGAGACAGAGAGACACAGACATTAAAGATGCATATGGAGATACACTGAGGAACAAAAACTCCAGAGAGAAATACAGGGAGAGG